AACAAACTTTTTTCCCCTCAGTCTAGAGCAGATTAAATCATTTGAAGCACCTGCTACAATCAATTCTGCATCACTTCATCCTGCGAAAGAATGTTTGGTTGCAGGCGGCGAAGATTTTAAACTCTATAAATATGACTATAATACAGGAGAAGAATTAGGTATGTTTGTTTTCTACAATCAAAAAGGAGTTATGAAATGGGTATCCATTAAATAATGACTAGTAGGGCTTAGCATAGCATGCTGTGCAAAAGGGTGAAGAGGTATATTACCAGTTTAAGCATTTTTTCCTATCTCAGTATACCCAACATTATTCTTCTAGAACTAATTAAAACCTACATTCAGCAGCTCTTTGCACCTATTTAAAAGAAAGTCACATTTGGTATTGCTGCATAGCTCTGTGTTGACTTGAGTGTCGTACTGTAGCATTCATTAGATATGTCAGCTTTTATGAAAAATGTGGTACATGTTGGCCAAATTTATTTGAAACAAAAAGCATGTTTCCAAGTTTTTTCATTGATCCTGTCCTTGTTTAAAATTGTACGTGTGTGGAGTGAGTAGTTGAAGGAACAGAGCATGTGTATTTTGTGCTGCTGGCTTGCTTTGTGGTTTTGTCTAGAATAAACAAGCACCTTTTTTCTTGCAGTTAATGAAACATCAATATTTTACCTAAATTAGACATTGCTGAGATACCGATTCATGGAAGCTTTGTTTTGTATCAGAAGCTAATTACTGAGAAAGTGCCCTCTCATCAGTGGTTTTTTCCCTCCTCTTCTAATTGGTTTGTACTTAATCATTTCAGTCATTGGCTGAAATCTGAAATTTATGGTCTTGGTATGTTCTGTTATAGAATCTTACAAAGGGCACTTTGGTCCAATTCACTGTGTGAGATTTAGCCCTGATGGAGAGTTATATGCAAGTGGCTCTGAGGATGGTACACTAAGGCTGTGGCAGACAACAGTAGGAAAAACCTATGGTCTTTGGAAATGTGTAGTTCCTGGTAAGTGTGTGCTTATTCCTGGTGAAACTTGGCTGCTCCATGGGTGCTTTTTAAGTAATATCTGTCATTAGTGGTAAACAATTAATTTGGTGCAGCAACTGCTGTTTTCTGAGGGTTTCTATATCCACTCATATGTGATAGATTTAAGGATGTACCTTTGTAGCTGTAATGTAAGCAATTAACCCTGTAAGCTTTTTGTATATAGACACTTTGTGGATATTTAAGCAAATAGTCTGATGTATTTTTATGTGAATGAGCAAGAAACATGCAATACCACCTTCATAATTCTGAAAGAGATAATCTCTAGAAAGAAGTATGGGTAGTAGTTTTATATTGTACTTTGGTTCTTTCAGCTTGGGGGGAGGGAAGCAATAACTGCAAGTGAGTTTCATTAATGGAATTGCTTGCCCAGATGTTTCTCCTCAGCACTAAATTAAGTGGAAATTACTTTATTATTATTATTATTAAGGTGAGTGGGTGGAACTGAAGGTACTGACTTTGTTTTTCTTCTCTACAGAAGAGGAGAATGCAGAAGCAGCAAAAGCAAGGGCTACCCTTCCAGGAACTGCAGAGGAAGAAATAGGTAATGCACTGAACTGTCAGCTTCCACTCAGCTAAGTGTTAAAAAGATCAGTCAGGATGATAGCATTCTTTAGTATGGAAGAGGTAGTTTCCCTCAAGTATCTTCTGGCATTTTTCACTCTTTTTAAAAGGTGTTTGAATGCATTTTCCTGAAAATCACCATGTGGTAAGTGTCAGACTGGTGCCTGGAGCTGTGCAGGCTGAACAGATGGGGTTGAATAGCTGGATCAGGCTGAATGGGAAAACAAACTGAACTGGTCTTTAAGCAACCCATGCAACATTTCTTTGGTTTATATATCTAAGGTGAAGTTAAATAAAATTCTTTTTATTTAGTTGCAGAAGAGATTGCCTCTGAAAACTCAGATACAGTGTACAGCTCAACTCCTGAAGTTAAGGCCTGATTACTGCAACTGTTACATGACACATGGACATACAAGACTAAATCAAGTGAGCAGTGACAAACAGCAGCCTTCCAGAGTGAGCTCTCTACGTAAGGCAAAGATGGGCAGTAATTGATGAGAATGCGGTGGAACTGGCTAGGTGTTGTCTGTAAGAGAACTGAGTATCCAAATAAAAACCCAAAAGACAAGTAGTAGAGTTTTGCTGTCTTTTTGGCATAACTGCCTACTGTCTTTTCAAAGAAGTGTGCAAGCCAAGATCCAATCTCTCCAATTTCAATTAGACTCATTGTAGTGTGCTTTCTTTATTATGGAGAAGAGATACAATGGCTTTTACCCTTTTTTTTTTTCCTTGAAAGTTGGAAGAATTGGCTGTAGTTGAAAAGAAGGGATTATGTACTTAAAAGTATTTGGTTCGGGTTTTGTTTCATTGTATGCTGCTTCTGAATGTTTAACTGTTTTCAGTTGTCTAAATAAAATGCCTCTCAAAACTTGTACGTTACTGTTGAGCATTGGGTTCGTGAAATGGAAAAGCAACCAAATTAATCACGTAATCTTTTCTAGCATCTTGGTTTTGTACTGTACAGAGGGAAAGCAAAAGAACGTTTTAGTGTTGGTACAGAGGGTGGCAAGTTCTTCGATCTGTAAGCTTTGTGTCTTTTTTTTATTCTTTAAAATTTGAATGTAAACGTGAGTCTCTAAAATGAAAAACAGCGAAAACTGCTAAATTAAATGTGCTGCCTGAAATATTTGGTTGTACATGAAAATCTCAGAAGTTGGCTGCGAATCTGTATAAAGCTTGGGTTTAGTCATCCAGACTGGATAAAAAAGTTACTCTTTCAAGGTTACAAATCATATTTTCTTCATTAAAGAAAATAATTGCTGTTCTTCCACTTGTCATTTCCTTTAATGTTATGCTGAAAGTTTTACATAATGCACTCTGTATGGAAAAGAAGAAAGTTATACAGAGGTATATTTATTCACACACCTTTTTACATTTTAATATTCATACTTGTCCTTACTGTCCTTTTGGATTTTTTTCCCAAGAGTACAGTACCGCTGTCATCTTAGAAAACTGAAGCTTAACATTTGAACATAAATTGAAACATGGGCAATTCTACCTGAACATAAGAAAATACTTTCCCCTTGTGAGGGCCAGTCAAACATTGGCAGAGGTTGAGAAGTCTCCATTCTTGAAGATACTGAAAACCCAACTGGACACGGCCCTAGGGAGCCTCCTGTACCTAACCTGCTTGGAGGGGTGGTTGACAGAGGTCCCTTCCAGCTTCACCTGTTGGGTGGGGTGGAAGTAAGAAGAAAGCACAAAGTGATACCATGAATGATGGTTTCTTAGTGCATCAGCTATGTCAAGGGTATATTATTTCACAGACTGTTCCAAAATTAGTTTTGCAATCTGAATTTTGTTTTAAACACTAGCAACTTCCAACCCTCTGATTTACAGCTAATTGTCTCTGCCTTATTAATTCCACTAAGGCTTTTGAGGGCTCCCAGTCTAGTACTTCAGCCTGGGAACTTCCTTTTACAAGTTAAAGGATGTGTTTAAAGCAAGAAATCAAAATGAAACAGAGCTATACTGAGACAGACCTAATATCTAATAATTGCTACCAAAACACTGCAAGAAATTAAAAAAACTCCAAAACAACCCAAGTACATGAAAGCTTGTAACTTCTGCATTGTTTTAATGTATTCTAAAGTACATAGTGCAAATGGTATATATTCCTTGTAGAGTGATTGCTGTCTTTGAAGAGTTGCTTCTCAAAGCACACATGTAGTTTTGGTATGGGAAAGGCAAAAAGAAGAGTGTCCTCAGTTTTCAGAGCTGTGACCCTCTGCTGCTTTACCTCATCCTGTTTGTGATTTCTTTGTTAGCACTGAGCGAGTAGGGCTGAAGCTGGAAGACGTTTCATGTAAATTAGAGTATTGGGGCATGGTCTTAAGCTCTGCCAGGGGAGGTTTAGGTTGGATATTAGGAAGAAATTCTTTACAGAGAGGGTAATCAGGCATTGGAATGGGCTGCCCAGGGAAGTGGTGGATTCTCCATCCCTGGAGGTTTATAAGATGAGACTGGATGTGGCACTTAGTGCCATGGTCTGGTAACCACGGTGGTAATGGATCAAGGGTTGGACTTGATGATCTTGGAGGTCCTTTCCAACCTGGCTGATTCTATGATTCTATGACTAACAACGTTTAATACTTCTTTTTCATGCTAGTTTGTGTCCTTATAGCTCTGGGGGAAAAAAAATTTAAAGCCAAGAAGTTGTCGGTGGCTTTGTTATTGGACTTTCATTTTTGCAGGTGTCACTACAAGTGAGTAGTGACAGTACCTGAGTTTTACAGGTCAAGTTCATAGAGCCCATGTGTATGTGTGGCACTAGTTCCTCCCTGAAGATTCCACGTGAAGGAACGGGAAAGTGCCTTGACTCGTGGCCACCCAAACGGGCAGGTTCGGCGTCTGTATCGCTAAGGGAATGGCATATCCATGTCATCATCATCATCATGGCTAGGCTTCGCAAACAAAGATTTGGGAAGGGCTCTACCCACGTTTATTACAAGCGTGCTGGTGGCTAAAAAGGCCAATACGAGACAGGCAAGTCCGATTGCAAAAGGCACAGCAGAAAGACTCCTTAGGAGATATATTCTGCAAGGCACGATTCTTTCTGCGTTGTCTTTTCTCCTCAAGAGTGATCCTGCGTGCGTTCTCAAAAGCATCAGCAGCGTTAAAGATAGCGTGTCTCCCGGCCTCCCAACTGGAGGCCAGAGAAGACCAGTTATGTTGATCAATATGGCCAAGACTGAGATGTTGTTTCAGGGAGTCCTTGTAATATCCATGTATCCATAAAGGAATATCCCCGGAGCTCCCGCTGCCGAAGGGCCGTGGTGTAGCCCTGGGGAGGCTGCTCGCTGGGTGAGACCGCAGCTCCGGAGCTCCGGGCTCGGCGCCCACGTGGCGGTGGCGGGGGAGCCCCGAGGCCGGGCCGGGCCCGCCGCCGCTTCCTGCCCGCGGGGCGGGGCCGGACTCTGCCCGCCCCGCCCAGACCGGCCGCGGGGGCGGAGAGCCATGGCGGGGCGAAACCCTGGCACCGAGCTGGGTAAGGGCGGCCGGCGGAGCGGGGGCCCGGGCCGGCTCCCCGGGGGGAGCTGCGGGGCTCCCGGCGGCAGCCGCGGGACGCGGGCGGGAGAAGGGAGTGCTTGGGGCCGGCCCACCTCGGTGTGTAGGAGCCGGGCTGCTGCACAGCCTTGTCTGTCTGAAAAAAACAAAACAGACCTACGAGTCCTGTAGGTCTTCTGAGGTATTCCAGTGGCATGTAACCGGGAGGCCGGCAGGAGGCTGTTTTCCCCTTTGTTACTGGAGGTTGAACACAAGTTGAGGTTTCCCTGTCACACGGGACTTTCGCTGGAAGGGTTCCGAGCAGGGCGACAGGCTGTAGGGCGGCCGGGCCTGCGGGGCTCCACAGTCCCAGTCCTGTCACAAAGCTGGGCTTGGTCCTCTCTTACACACCTTGCTGGTTCTCACGGAATAAGGCTCCCTACTCTCTTTCTTCCCAAGGGATTCAAAACACTCAGTTAGTTGGATTCTATTTGCAAACCTGGGACTTCACCTCTTCTCATCATTCTTATCATGCTTGCTCTCTGAGGAGTGATAGGGATTTTCCAGGTAGTCTCCAAGCCCGAAAGTTGGCTCTGCCTCGGGTAAAGCAGAGAGCAGCCAAAAAAGAGTTTCTCTGGAGCAATTAGGAGAATTTCTCTTCTGCTCATTGCGGGGAAAAGAAAAAGGGCTACAGCTTTCTCACTTCTCCACCCGGCAAAACCCAGCTGCAGCAGTGGAATGAATTAAAGGGATGAACCTTCCCACAATCTGCCTTTAAGGTGTGATAATTTGGCCAGCGTGAGTAAGCGGACAGTTAAGTGGAAGAGATACAGGGGTGGCATCATGGAAGATGGGAAGCAAAGGGCAGCTGGTGTGGGACAGGGATATCTGTAGGTGCGAGCAGAGTTCAGGAGGCCGTGCTGCACGTGGCCTCATGTGGCTGCACTCCTATCACGAGAACAAGCACAGGCACTTTTACAGAATTAACATGCAGTTTAAATTATTAACTTTTGGACAAATGAGAGTTGACTGAGTTTTCATTCACTGAAATCGTGGACATGTTGCAACTCGTAGAAGTGAACTGTCTTGCTGCTCTCTGATGTGCTTGTTTGTGGGCTCTTTGTAGGGACGGGTGAGTTTCAGCTGTAGCCACCTGAACAGCATCTTTTTGCTGAAACAAACATGTTAATGACATAGTGACAAAACTTCAGTCTGTTAGGAAAACAATCTAGCACAAAAGTTTGCAAATACACTCCAGTTATTTTAAACTAGGTGTGGCGTGCTTTTTCTTACTGTAAACTCAATCTTACAATTAATTGTTGGTATGTGTGAGGAGTCCAGAAACTTGAATGTGAAGCCAGTTCAGTTCTTATCGAGCAGTCACCCTCCAAGAGGCATACACATAAGGAAGACCCTACTGTCTAGTGGGAAATTATTGGAAGAGATGGGCAACCTCACTAACAATTGGCTGGATCTTGCTGTGCAGCCATAGTCAAGGGAAAAGTGTTCAATGTGCAGCTGACCAACACAACATAATCATTGGTTTTTTGCACCCAGTGGAATAATCTTTGAGTATATCCCAAATACTTTCTATAACTCTGTCTTCTCCTGTAAGTAGCCCTTCCCTGCCTAAGAGGCAGGGTCAACTGATGCTCAAGATTATCAACAGAGAGCACAGAGCGATGGATATCTTCAGGGCTGCACCATGTGGCCTCTTACAGCTGCAGCTAATCAGCTGTACCTGGAAAGGCCACTGCCCTCAGCTTATCCGCAGATATTTGTTGCCATCCCTTCCCAGTGATCTTTATTTAAACCAGTTGTGGTCCAAATGAGCTGGGTTAGATGTTTGGGACAGGGGAATGGTGTGGTGACCACATTTAAGTGGCAGCTTCTAGCAGCTGCCTTATGCTGGCTGCTTTAAAGGGAGAACTGAATCTCCCTGCTGTTTACTCGCCTGCTAAATACACATCTGAAATACAGCAATATTCTTAATAGAGCACTTAACATATCCTTCTTAATGCTGTACCTTAGCTGGTAGCAGTACTCAAAAAGAATATGTTAAACCCTTACCTTTATCTTTCGTGGTTGCTAACAATACACACTGCTTCTGTGATTGAGGCACTTCAGTTTTTGAAGGTTTTTCAAGCTTGTGGCAGCAGTTTTAACAGTAATTCAAGTGATTTGCCCTGTGTCTCACACAGCATTTTGTAGGATTATAGTTTTCTAATGGGGACATCTAGTGGTGAAATATATTTTACTTAAAAATATATTATTTGAGTCCTTTTCTGTGTCTGTTTCTGTGCTTGCTACGTGTCATTATTTAAGCAGTAAATTTCTGATCCTGCCGTCAGAAAGCATCTATTTGTTTATCAACAAGCCAAGCTCTTCACAAATCATGGAATGCAGTGCTTTCCCATGTGTTTCTTTTTTTTTTTGTAAAATAAATATATTTTTGTAAAAGCCCTTAATCCTTCCCTCCTTCCCATCGCTGTGCATTTGTAGAAGAAGGTGTTTGCTTGGGATAAAGAACAGGTGTGTGTTCCACAGATGAAGACACTGATGTGCACGGCCAGAGGGTCACTAGCCTAATACACTGATACATTTGCCATCATAAAGTCATGTAAAGAAGCCAGATAAAGAATTTTACAAGTTTTTCATTCCACAGGAACTGTTTATGGGGTCGTTCTTGTGTACTTGGGTTCACCACGATGCCTTCAGGGCCTGACAGGAGTCTGCCTCTCCTGCTCTGCTCACAAGGTTGCTCGGTTATAATAGACCAGACATTTCATGTGTTGTCATATTTCAGAAAAGTATCAGATGCAACTTTTTAATGCCACTTCACAACAAAATAGTGAAACATGTCAATGAGTATCTGATTTATATGTGTAAGCTAGTAGCATACTTCTTTGGTTTGGGGCTGCAGACATATGGGTTTTCTGTTCCCTGCAGGTGCAGTTTTGATGGAATGACTTCAGAAGTTGTGGAGAAAGACATTTAATAACCTTGGTTAGAGGCAGAAAATGGCAAAATAGAAAGTTTAAAACCAGGCAGTGCTATCTACTATATTTATCATTTGTTATTCTGGTGAAAGGGTAAATGGCCTGACCAACCTAATTGCCTTCCATAGTAAAATGACTGGATATGTTGAAAACTTGGTCTGATGGTTTGGCTGATGCTTTGGGGCTGATACCAAGCAGGGCATTACAGGCATCTAGCCTGGGACTTGTCCTGTTTAACATTCTTTTCAGTGACTTTGAAGGGGCAGTGGCTTGTTTGCAAAAAGTTTGCATAAAGTTTGCAAATGAGACTGAATTAGTCAGATTGTTTAGAGGGACCCAAACTGGCTGGGGAAATGGGTCAACAGACATCCAGCAGGCCCAGAGACAGAGCCCTGCCCCGGGAAGGATAAGTCCCAGCAGCCACATGGGACCTTCTGGGATGTGCCAATGGGAACATGGAGAGAGAGGGACTGTTCCTTCTGCCCAGCACTTGTTAGAGCATCCCTGGAAGACTGTGTCCAGTTTTCTTGCTTCCCAATAGGAAAAAGAGATTGATGACCTGTCACAGCTTCAGTGGAGGAACACCACAGTGGGTCCAGGGCTGGAGCACTTGCCCTGTGAGGAAATGCTGATGGAGCTGGGCGGGTTCAGCCCAGGGAAGCAATGGCTTTTGGGGGTCCTGACAGCTGCCAGCTCATCCCTGCAGGGAGTGTATCTAGAAGGCAGAGCTGTGCTCTTCACAGCATTGCTTGATGAGATGAAGTAAGACAGCAGCCAGAGAAGTTCATACTGGATATAAGGAAAAACTTTTTCATGCAGAACAGTCCGGTGGTGGCACAGGTTGCCCATAGAGGCTGTGCAGTCTCCATCCTTGGGGACTCTCAAAACCCCATTGAGCAAAGCCCTCAGCAGCCTGAGCTCAGTGCTGATGCTGCATTGCACAGGAGGTTGGACTAGTGACCTTCAGAGACCTTCCAGCTCAAATTATTCTGTATGTTTTTTTACCTCTATGTGTGTATATATGTATATACATGTATGTCTGTGTATTCTGAGCAATGAGTATTTAGTTCTTGGATCTAAAAAACCCAAAATCTATCTGCGTTGCTCAGACCCTCTAACTGAAGGGCCAGAAATACACTAATTATGTTTCAATTGATATTTTTAATTATAGTTGGTATTTCTGAGCCATTTACATGTGAGAGCTAGCCTGTTGGTAAGTGGCATTTAGATAATGAAGTGTTGCATCCCTTTCAAGACAGCATGATTCTGTCCTAATATATTAATAGCTGGTTTTAGCCTGTACTGTGGCTCTGGTTCTTCACTGTTCCTTTCTAACACCTTTTAAATCTGCTAGATAATTTTACTCAACTTTGAAGGACAGGGAGATGTCTGAAATAAGTAAGGCACTGGGTGGAGTGACCAAATTAGTCCCTCTGTTGAGAGAAAGGCAGGCACAGATCAGCATTTACATGAATTTTCATTGTTTGGGCTTTATGCAAATAACAACATGCTGCTTTAGTCCGTGGTTGTAAGGACAATGTCAGGACAGCTGAGTTATTGGAGTGAGGAGAGGCCTCACTGAAGCCAGGGAAGAAGAGAAGGAACAACAGGGGACTTGGATCTGCAGGAAACCAGGCCCCTATATCTGCAGCTTTCCTTCTGATGAAAGACTTGTCAGTGTTTTTCAAAGTGCTTTGGAGGATACCAGGATCCATTGTGTGATTTCACTAATGTCACAAGATAGTAGAGCTGATTTCTAGTTCAGGGCTTGTGCTTTCATGTCCTGCATTGAGTATCTGAATGCAGATGGCCTTGAGGCTGAACTTCTTTCATATAAAGAAAAAAACATCCAAAAATATGGACCTGTTGGTCCATACCAAGTGTCACCACAGAAAAATAATTAAAGCTTCTGTCTCCACGAAACTGAATAACCCCCAAACCTCTAAACAGCTTACGTGGTAAGACAACTGTAATAAGACTTAATCCTGAAGCCTTTTCTTGCTCTTCAGTGACTTTGCTCAGCTCTGCACGGCCAGCTGGGGTCAGCCTGTGTCCAGCTGAATTACCTCGTTTTCCACTGAAGGTTCAGGACGCAGCTTCACTCGCTTCTCCAGAAATAACAGCTTTCATCACTTCCCTTACTCATTTTATCGTGTGTTCATGGTAAGAGCAGGAGCACACATGCTGTTTCTGGCACAGAAAGGAAATAATCAGTTGGGATGCAGCTTCTTTTGGGGACAGTGCTGCCTTAAAATGCTTGTGAAACTACTGCCTCAGGCATTCTTGAGCTTTCTGTTTCACCATCTGAAGGGATGCCATTGACACATTTTTTTAAAGCTTTTGGAAAGCTTAGTTCGTTTTATGAAGATTGTGTTAGGTACCTTAGATATTTATGTAATTATCCTAATGAAGTGGGTTTATTTATTGTTTTCTGAGGAAATGGTTGGTATTTTTGGGTTCATGTTCTTCAAAGAGAGGAGATGAATTTCCTGTTAAGAAATTGAATATGATTTTTTCAAATGTCTTCAGAGAAAAAAGTAAACTTGAGGAGTGATTACAGAATATTGGCTAATTAGCTGTAGTGTAACTGCTTTAATTACTTTTATCCCTGAAGCCACATGACTGTGCAGATGACTAGCAGATGACTTATTTAAAAAAAAAAAAAAAGACGTGTTCACACTGCAAGGTTAATGAGCCTAATTAAATATAGTTTTCCTTAGCCAGATACTAAATCATAAAGCTTGGGGGAGTGAGGGAGGGCAAGAATCCAAAGGCAGTCAGTTCTATTTCAAATAATGGTTTTATTCTGATTTTTAATGGAAAAAAAAGCTGGAATTGTGATTGGTTTTGCTGAATAGAGATACTTACATCTAAAGATTTGATGAGACCTCACATGGCAAACTTTGAAAGTCTATTTTGAGACGATTACACTGAGACATATTTGTTTTCACTTGCCCATTGCTTTAATTAATGTAGAAATGGGCTTGAATAAAAGGTCTGTGTTAGATGGAAGTCTCCATCTGCTGCTGCATATTACCAGAACCTTTGTCCTTCCTTGTGCTGCGCAATTTTTATGACACCATTTTATTTCCTGTAGGCCGCATACCGTCTCATATTAAGCTGTACAAAAAGGATGGAGTTCTGATTTTGTAAAATTATTTAATTTTTTTTTTAAATTTTCTGCCTTTGCTGTGCACAGTGGTTTGAGATCCCACATTCAGAAAAATACTTGGAGGTCCAAATTCTATGGTCTTTCAAGGAAACTTGTGTCTCAGGCACCAAAATTAGATATTAGACATTACTGAGTTGCCATGTGTGAGTTACCTTCTTCACTAGCCTTGACTTACTGAAAACAGAAGGTAAAATGTGTTACACAGTGAAAGGGGCTTAAGCCAATGAATTTCATCATATTTGCAAAGAACATTTGGTCAGCTGTTGCTGATCACCTGATATTTGATGACTTTGGTCAAAGCAAAAGTAGTAACTTATTTCACTTCCACACTTCTTCCACATATTTTCTTCCAGTGGTTATAAGTTTACTTTTTTATCTTTTTTTTTTTCTTTCTCCAAATGGCATAATACTTTTTCCTTTAAGGTAATCTAGTGTGCAGTGCTCTGTGTTCTGAAAAGATTCCTCAGACCTTCTGAGTAGCTCAAAAGTCAGATGGGGTAGATACAACACCTCTATGTATGTTTCTACTCAATCCAGCATGTGATGAATCCTGAATCCTCTGCAAGTAATGACTAATGCACAGTTAACCTCATGGGGGAGATTTATGTTCTTTCATTTAAATTTTCATCTCAAACTTGAATTTTCCCTATGCAGCAGACTGGATACTGTCTTCATATTCTCCCAAACTCTTCTACAGAAGGCTGGAATTTTTTCTAAATTAATTGTTAGTTGTATTTATTGGTTGTCTTTAGTAATGTAGAAAGAACAGGTTAGAGTATGCTAAGTAAAAGGATCCTTATTAGAGAATGAGAAGCTGATTTTCTTCATCTAAACTTTTTTCTTTGATTTTATCACATTTTCCAAAGGGGCTGAAAGGTTACTGTGCACCCAGTAGGGTTCCAAAGCTATAATAATAAATGGTATTATGATTAAATGATATTACCTAAGTACTTGGCACATAGTAGGAGAATCATAACACAGAGTTTGTGTTTCCTACTTTTATGTATGTATTCATTTATATATGTATGTGTGTATTTATTTATCTACTTATTTATTTATTTGGTTGGTTGGTTAGTTAGTTGTGTTTTCCTCCCTCATGGACTTTGTCAATATTCCCTGTAGTGGCCCCGTGGAAAGTGGTGTATGGGCACTGCTGGTCACGTAGGAACTTCAAGCTTAAGGCCACTGCAGGGGATTGCAGAGGTTTCACTAGTCTGTGTTTCAGCTGTCTGTATAGTTTGCATTTATTGATAGGCAAAAAGGAGGAAAATTCTAGCCATAGCTTTTGTAGCAATAACTTTTCTCATCTGCTTTCCTCGTGTCAGCTGAGCTTCCTGCTTTTGGGGCAGAATGGATCAGCCTATAGCTTTGAAAACATAGAGAGGTAACAAAGAGTTTGTTGTTCACTTGTTTTGCAAGGTTGCAAACCACTCCTTTCCCTTGTTGCCATGCAGTGGGTCTGATGCTAAATTCTAAAGAAATCCATACATTCTTTAGGATTCCTTTGAAATTCTGTCATTGATTTATTTTTTCTGCTTTTAGCCAACATTTTCACCTTGTAGACACCACTCATTAATATTTTGTATGTAGTAATAGAAAAGTGGTAGCACAGTGGCTTACTGTGCTCAGAACAAGATTTTATTTAGCTATTAATGCTTTTATCCTGCATTTCCAGTGAGTCATCTTTACCCTAAATTGGTTTCTCTGCGGCTTTTTGTAAGTCTAGGAAAATGAGCTTTTATTTACACATACTTTGGCTAGTTATATTAGTTTTCTACTTTTTTTTGGCTATTAAAGCTATCAAGGGTAAGATTTCTGTACCAAATTAGTGATTTTGGCTATCAGCTTTTTGTATTTTTAAGTTTTAAATCTTTTTTTAAATCAATATGCTCGAGGGAAATGCAAATTTAATGCAGCGGTAAAGAAGATTCATAGAGATAACATGCTCTTAATAAAGTCAGTCACCCAGAATTATTATCTCCTAGTATCTATGCCCATGTCTCTATTCTGACCTCAACTGATGATGATATTTGATGATTGATGGGGGTGATTTGCTGATGATTGGTGGTTAATGATTGTTGATGTTGTTTTCAGAGTATTTTCATGGAATGCTTATATGATTAGTATTTAGAAAAAATATTTGTGTTTTGGGATATGAGAGATTTTAAAGATATTCCGATTTCTTTTTCCTATGTACTCCCATGAGCAGTTTGTGTCTATTAATATTAAAAATTTACACTTTTGGTTTATCATACTAAGCAAAAATTTAAAGATTCAAGAGCTTGAACCTTCAGTTCTCCTTTTTCAGTCAGTTACCCTTTGTTAGCCTTCATTAAGCAGAGTCCAGTACGTGGTTCTTCTGGTTCTGGACAGTTTCATTACTTTAGTAAATGTTGAGCATCTGCTTCTCTTTGGGTTATTGTTCATGGATACTGAAACTCATTGAAGTTGTGAGCCAGTCTCCCTTCAGTGGGCACCTGAAGGAATTCACACGTTGAAGATGTTGCCCTGAGTCCTCCCAGGTGCTTGGCAAGGTGAGCACTCCTCGGGCTGCTTCCAGAAGGGTGTGTTGCCCAGGAATTCAGTACTTTTGGAAACCTGCAGTTAATCAGGCCCTAGTAGCAAATTCAGTAACATTAGCTGCAGACAATCACAACCTAAATGCTTTGTTATGCGTGAGTTTGTTCAGGGTTTTTTTTGAGCGTGTGGGGTACAGTTTCTGTAAAGAGGTTCACACACACAAAAAATGCTGTTGTATCCTGGGACCCAGCAGACAAGCAAAGGGCTGAATAAGTGTTACTGTTTATTCAGAATAAAGTAAATCAGCAAGCAAAGGCAGAAGGCTGTTTTGTGGGTGGGGTTTTTTTCATGCTACATGTATAATAAACGTCTTAGTCCAAGACTGGCAACACAATGTCTCTCATCAGGGCTAAGTTAATTCAGTTGTAATGGCAAACAAAACATGCTATGTGAAACATCCAGACTCTAACAGAAGATAATGCTATTTTGGACTGGTGATAAGTACACAGGTCCTTAAAAGGACATGAAAGCACAACATGCTCTTCAGAGGTTCCAAACCAAGCTACAACTTTCTTCTAAAGTATCACACCATAGATTGTAAGAACACAGAAATAGATAAGGCTTTTTTTTTTGTTTTTCCTCCCAGAACTTGGCTGGCTCTCGAAAGTGTATGTGAATCGACCTGCAGTTGTGAGGCATGCAGAACAAATTAAAAAATGGAAAACTTTGAAAGGTAATTGGCAAGTAAGTGCTCTTCTTATGCATTCTGTTCCTGTATTTTTAAAGCAGTCTCTCTCCCTCTCCAGGCTGTAATATTGAATTTTTTTCAAGACACATGTAAACTTAAAAGATGTGCTTGTCCATGTCTTATTTTAATAATTTGTATTTGATGATGATGGGATGGAATAAGGTGACGCATTTATCCAAACAAGTTAAAAACCTTATAACTCATGAGTGGCAAAACCGCAAATGGATTTAAGTCATCTTTATTCATGAGTGGATTAAATTGTATATTACTATCCCACCACATTTATTCTGTTTCCCAGACAGACTTCTCTGCATGCTGCCGTCTTATTTTTTTTTAATTTTAAAGCTGTAAGATATGATCGTGGTCCCTGTCAAGTTTGACCTACCTGGATGATTTTTCTTTACTTAAACATTCCCAATGTGTGTGATTTCATTGCTTAACTAGTTTTTACCTAAAATTAAAAAAATACTGACAGGCTGTGGCATTTGGAGGGGGGAAGGAGCCCACTAATATTAGGGGGACTGACTTTTCAACTGCTGAGATAAGGTAAATGGTGGGTTATTTTCCACCTTACTACTAAATAAGTTAATGTAAAGCATCACTAAAGCCAGTGGTGCAAATGAACTTCTCTTCAGGGCTGACTTGAATTCATTGAACACACGTTTAGAGTGTCTTAGCAGTTACCCTCAACCTCTGCTGGTTGCTGCCCTCCTGGCAGAATTGACAGATACTGGCCTGGTGTGCCTTTTGGTTTCTCCAGTTTATACATTACACAGAGCCACTCAGTCACCAGCATAAGCTGATGTGTTCTGCAGTGCAGGACAGGTGAGGCACAGCCACGTGCTGGCTTCTGCCCCCTCAGTGGCAGGATGGGAAGTGCTGAGAGGGGAATGGCAAGCAGAACTGGCTGCAGGATGCTCTGAGTGGTTTATCAGCAGCATTCGGCCAAGGGTGAGGTCTGAGAAATGCTGTGCAGCAGAGCTGGAGCTCCCAGTGAGCTCCCAGCCACTGGGTTGTAGCTGGTGTCCAAAATACAGACTGATTCTTCATTCACCAAAGAGCTGTTCTGCGAGAAGGTTCATGGGATTCCTCCCCACTGCTCACTAAACAAGTGGTTTGTGTGCAGCAGTAACTGAAAACCTGGAAGCAGGAGGAAGGAGTCAGCGGAGGATCAGTCTTAACAGTGGAACATAATGGAACAAAGCAAGAATCATTTAATTACATTCAATTACATTGAAAAAAGTGCTCAAAATAGTTGACATCCCGAGCCCAGCATGTTGTGCAGCCATTCTGGAGTGGCTGAAGCTGTGTTCACAATGAGCACAGATCTTGGTGATGACAGTTTGGAGATAATTTGATGTAGCTGTAAGATCCTACTGGGAGGTGATAGAAAAAAAATCTTCCTGCCTATTTTTCCATCCTGAAAGTTTGTGCTTTGTGTGTTATGATTAAATAAAAAAATTGACATAAACTGAGGAAAGTTAGACACTAACTCAGCATTTCTTAAAAGTTTCTTGTGCTTAAGAAGTTACTTGATACCAAGGTTCTGAGTTGGGAAATAGTATCAGGGAGAAAATCGAGAGGGTATTTCATAATCTTGGCTATCCTCAGATACTGCAGGTGCAGTAATGTAAAAAGAAAGTCTGATTTGACCACCCTTACTGTATAACTAACAGAGAGAGCCACAGGCTTTCATTACAAAGAATCATTTGGAAGAAAGGGATTTAGTGTCACTCCCACAACACAGCTGGAGGACAGATGTTTATTACTAATACTTCTCCACCCTCCTGTGTAGAAACGTTGGTACTTCAGCAAGGTTTTACTTTGAAGAATGTCAGAAGCATCTCTCCTGTATTTGAACACTGTCACTGCAGGATAGTCATGTGCTGTTTATTTCAGAGATGATTTTGAACCTTTGCGTGTTTGAATGTAAGGAGCATCACAGATTCAAATTCTGCAGCCCATTGCCCAAAATACACATTTGGAAAACCCTTTAAAAAACCCCCAAAGTTATTGGAACTCCCTGACTACATCTGTCTTGATGAGTTTATGATTCATGTCATAAGAGATGAGACAAAAATTCCCTGGAACGAAGAATAAAAAAAATCCAAGTGGAAGAAACACAAAACCATTTAAAGTGAAAAACCCCTTTGAAGTATTAGAGGGTGAAAGGAGAAATCAGTTAGAAAGCAGTCAGGCTTAGACTGACAGAGGCCGGTGATGGTTCATTACTCTGTTGAGTCACCCCAAAGCAGGTTTCAGTGTCACATTTACTGCAGGTGCCGAAAGGAGACTCCCATCAGTGAAGTGTGAAAGTTTTGTAGGCAGGCCAGCCATGGAAGATTTGCAGAGTAATACCTTCATGCAGAAACAAGCTTAGCTGCCTGCACTGACAAATCGTGTCAGAGAGCAGAGCAATCAGAGAGGGGCTTTATGGACTTTGCTGTTGCTGTACAAGTGCCCAGGAAGAGATGTCAGCTTTAAGTGAAGCCATCACTGTAAATGAGCATTTGCTGGAAGACCTTCAACAGATATTTCAAAATAATCTATTAAGCTCAACTTTTGTTCAGCAAAAAAGCTCATAAAATTTTTAATTGTGCTTCTGTTCCACTCTTTGATTAATAAGTATTTTAAAATTCTGTAGCATTTTCATATAAAGAGTGCTTTAGCCTTGTCACTTAGCTCTTGCTTTTGATTTTTAACTTTACACCAAATAATTACAGAATTGTTTTTTTATTCCTGATTTACACAAAATAAAGTGGAAACATCTGGAGTCTACACCCTAAGTTTGAAGAAGCTTGGGTTCTTAACCCTCCCAATTTCATGTTTCACAGCAGGATAAGCATGCAAACATGCAAGTGTGCAAATTGCTGATGTGTAAACTCATCTGGGTGCTGTCGATTGCAAACCTGTGCTTCTCTTGAAGCATGTGTATAATTTCTTGGGCATACAACCCTTAAAAGGTACAGACATACTGTGTAGCACACGGCATATTATGGCAGTGAGGTATCTCACATAGGTGTTTTTTATCTTTGTCTTACAGAAACAAGATGCTTTTTTTTTCCAGATAAAAATGTCTGATTCTTGCAGAGCCCCGTTTGGTAGTCAGCCTTTGCACCAAAAATTGGAATTTGATCCTTTGGTTCTGAGAGTGGACTTTTGATTCCAAATCTTTTCTATATCATTAGATACTGCTCAAGACATGAATAAATATCTGCCAACCCTGTCTATCATAAGCTCTTATTTGTATATCCTCTATCTTATATCCTTTGCGTTTCCTCATTGTCAGAGTGAGTGCCAGGCTTCCGATTCCTGCATCTTCTGAGTCAGTTTGGCTTTAGAAGTGGAAGTGGAAGTACTATATTTCTTGTTTTGCTCCCTTTGTAGGCTGCTTGGCTGCTGAAAGCTGTCACCTGCATAGACCTCACCACTCTTTCAGGCGATGACACTCCTTCAAATGTTCAAAGACTGTGTTTTAAAGCAAAGCATCCTATCAGAGAGGATCTGCTCAAAGCCTTGAACATGCACGATAAGGGTATGGGAGCTTTTGTTGTATGTATTTTGTAGAGAAAATGTCTGCATTTCCTCATTATTTTTCAGTTTTCAGAAATGGCTTTGGTCCACTGATTAAAGTCATATGGTTTAGAACCAAAGGGGAACCAGGCCTCTGGTTTAAGCCATATACATAAAATATCAAAGATTGTTCTTTTTTTAAAATTTGGATTTATGGACTCTTCAGACAGTGGAAGTATTAAATATGAGGTCTATTATCTGAGACTTTTAGAGGATAGCATTTTAACTAGAAATGCAGTAGCACTGCATTAACATAAAGACTGCTCAGTTGCTGCTGGCCTCAGTCTGGCTCAACAAGTAAGAACAGTTTGTCTTGCAGCAATTTGCTGATTAAGCATGTCTTAACTGTAGATGTTGGCATTAAACTGTGAATCTGTCGATAAATACCTTGGAGTTCTAGCTCCTGCTGATGTAGACTTGCTCCGAGGGTCAGGTGAAGGAACACGAGGGAGGAAACAATAGGGAGAATTACCTGAACCGTTTGAGCAATAGAACAGACATCCCTGGTGCAGGTGCTTAAGACCCTTGTGAGAGTGCAGAAGTGGGAGATGAGAACAATGCACATGTGCTCATAATATGGACTGCACTGGAGAAGGCAGAATTGTGTGTCTGAAAAAGTGAACTGTGGCTTTTGCAGGCATTACTGTTGGAGCGGTTTGTGTATATCCTGCAAGAGTCACCGATGCTGTTAATGCCCTAAAGGCTGCTGGTTGTAACATACCAGTAGCTTCAGGTAAGCTTTATTCAAAAATATACAATTAAATATTTTGATGTTATAAAATATGTGGAAAGATCCAGAAATTTGGGCTTGCTTCTGTGTCAGGGAGTAAGGTGTAAAGGTAACAGGTGGAAGGAAGGGAATGGAGGGGAGGATTTTCTTCTGGTCTAATCTTTTGTTTTCTTTCAACTTCAAGCTTATCAGGAATGCCAAGTCTGTTTTGCTGGAAGCTCTTCAAAAAGGTCTTTAAAATATATCAGTGTTTTCCTCGCCTGAATAGAAAAAATTGAGATAGTATGCTGGACAAGTATCAGGGTACACTAAGTAGATGAAGATGATGATGATAATAAGAGGAGTTCTGATATAAAGTTTATTTTCTCTATCAGTTGTTTGGCTTTTAAGTGTAATCCTATCTCAAGTTTAACTGTAGCCAGCAACTAAGCAACACAGCTGCTCGCTCACACACTCCCTCCCAGGATGGGGAGGGAAAGAGAACTGGAAGGGTAAAAGTGAGAAAATCTGTGGGTTCAGATAAGAACAGTTTCATAATTCAAATAAAATATAATTAATAATATTAATGGTAATAAATGCAATGAAAAGGAAAATAACAACAAAAAAAAGAGCAAGAAAACACAAGTGAGACAAGTGACACAGATGTAAAACAGTTGCTCACCACAAGCAGTAGCCCCCAGCCAAATTTAACCCTAATTTATATGCTGGATATGATGCCATGTGGAATGCATATCCCTTTGGGCAGTTGGGGTCTGCTGTCCTGGCTGTGTCTCCTCCCAGTTTTTTTGTGCACCCCCAGCCTACCCGCTGGTGGGGTAGGGTGAGAGGCAGAAAAGACCTTGACGCTCTGCAAGCCCTTCCCAGCAGTAGCCAAAACATCCTTGTAATACCAACACTGTTTCCAGAACAAATCCAAAACACAACCCTGTACCAGCTCCTGTGAGGATAACTCTATCCCAGCCCAAACCAGCACATCCTAAATCTGTGCAGAGCTGAGGGTTGTTACCTGCTGGGCACCCTACAGGTTCAGAGCCTTTACACACAACTCTCTGACAGTGCCAGCTCTTCTCCAGTCACCACATAGGAGAGACAAGTCCTGAATCCACAATAAGCAAGAAGTAGAATCAAAGAATTATGGAGGTTGGAAGGGAGCTCTGGATGCCACCTGATCCAACATCTTGCTCAAAACAGGCTAACTTTGAAGTTAGATTGGGTGTTTAATGCTAAGCCCCATGTTTTCTGGTGAGTTTTTTTGTTTTTTCGTTGTTGTGTGTGGGAAAAATACATGCTAAATGCATTTATATGTCAGAGAAAGACAATCTCTGAAAAAGCCATTGTTTTTTCCATTTCCAAAGTTACCTTTGGGTTTTGTACTTACACATCATAAACATAATCCTAAGTAGATCTCATTGAAAGCAATTTTTGCTGTTTCGTGATTTAGCTGTTAAACAATATTACTATGATTTAACTTGAGATACTGCTTAAAAGAATTGGAGAGAATTAAAAATGTATGTATTGCTTCATATCTGAGTTCACTTCTTGTTTGCTCAATTCTGCTGGAGGCAATAGATATTTTGCTTTTTATGTAGGCTGCTCTGGAAAAATTTTAAGATGTGAAAGATCTTTTCACAAGATGCACTTACTATCTTGCTGGACACTGGGTTTTGAGGGTAGAGCTAATGCTTCTTGTGGGTGAAGAGGGGGTAGGATGAAGTGCCTTTAGATTTTTTGAATCATAGTATGGATAAAAAAAAGAATAACTTTCAAACTTTTTGGTGTATTAGAGGTATATGCAATCTTATGGTTAATTTATAAAACTTTAAAACATTTCTTCCCTCTACCTGCATCCCCTTTCACGCTAGTGGCTGCTGGGTTTCCATCTGGACAAACTCCTCTAGAAACCAAACTGGCTGAAATAAAACTGGCTGTGGAATATGGTGCCAGAGAGATTGACATTGTCATTAGCAGGAGTCTGGTGCTGACTGGCCAGTGGGAAGGTAAGTACCCACCCTTTGGCAAGGACCCTAAACCTCTCTGTATGCACGTGCTATCTTTGTGTCTTCCCCAAATCACCACATCAGTCCTTGAAGAAAATGGTCCCTCCCCCAATAGTCACTGATAGTCTGGGGCTCTCAGCTAAATAAAACCTATTTAACTAATTCTTGACAGAGGGTTGCATTTTTTTAAAAGAATGCTGTTGAAAGTCATGTCAGGTTGGACATGCGGAATGTGCTTTGAAAATTCAGGTGTATTCCTTCTGTGCCTTTAGAGGATTTTGTGTAAAGAGTTAAAAAAATAGCGAGTGAAAGCCTAATTATTTGAACAGTTTTGTAGAAAGCCCAAGGGACTGTTAATGTAGATGATACCTTGTTAAATATACATGTTTCAGTTCTTGACAAAAACATGTATTTTAGTTGTTTTCCTTCTCCTGAAAATTGAGGGTACAAATTGACTGTTCATATTATTATTGATGTTCTGGTGTCTGTAGACTACTACTACTAATTAGTAAGAACAATAATGCTGAAGGTGGTTTTTGCTCTAATTGCCTCCTTAATGTACTGTGAATGGTTTGCCTTAAGTGCTGACAGTGCTCCTATAACTAATCTCCATGTGAAGATAAACACATCATTGTCTTGGAATGAGTTTTCCATTTAGTTGTATAATGCAGTGCCATAATATCCTAGTTGATTGGACGACTTCATAATGGACCCCTGGTACCTGAGTTTAGTTAAGGAAATACAGTCATCTTGCTAATAGATCATGTTTTCTGATTTTGGCATTCCTTCAATTAGCAGTTAGAATTGAACCAAAAAAATCCATGTTTCTGCATCTGTCTTCAGGGCTGATATCCTGCTTTCATTTGCTGTAATCTTTTGACCTCTTTTACAGTATTTACCGTCTTCATCCTTCTGCTCTTAAATCTATGCAGCTTTACAAGCGTTTGACTTCTGCAGGATGTGCATTGCTGCAGACATTTGTTTCTTTCAGTGTCTATTTGTAAATTCAGGTATGGCCTCAGAAATTGCCGGAACATGGAGACCGGATGATTGAGAGGTTTCAAATAAGGCAGCATGATGGACCAAGACCTTTACCAGCTGGTAGCAAGACTGTGCATATACCTTCCTGTGCTGTATCTTTGTTAGGGTCTTTGCTGTGGTCTACAAAGCAGATACCCCTCCAAGAGCTGCAGTCTGCTGGGAACACATATTAGTCTTGGGTACAAAGTGAGCTGGACAGTGATCTGTCACTAAGACTCAAAAAAGACCACTAAGCTGGACTTCAGCAGAATTGCAATTATGTCTGAAGAAACCTGTCTTGCAGCAATTTCTGACATGACTCTGGTTGTCATGCTTCGGATTTCATGGTACAAACCACTGTTAAGTGCAAGTTGCACAGAACAGAGAGCAGAAGTTTAGTGCATGAAAGGTGTGCAGGCTTGAGGGTCTGTTGCCTGGGATTACATGAAGGAGAACTCAGAGGAGGAATACAGGGCTAGATTCAGAGAGAGAGTTTGTATTGGTGACTGAAATGAACTGAACATACATTGTTAGGTTTTTCTACGTGGGAGATGAATTGGTTTTTGTGGTCACAAATTACAGGGTAGGAGTACACAGACATGGCAATGATGGATGTGGTGTAAAGCTGTCAGTTTATTAAATAAGTAAATTAGGGATGGCTTTTAATTTCGTATGGATATCCTTTTATCCAGAGCTGAAGTCATGATAAGGTTGAAAGCCATCCTGATTTTGGCAGCTGCTTATATTTTTTTTTTCCCTGGGAGCAGAATTCAAATTATTTCCAAATGTTTTCTCTAAGTTTGTCCATCAGTGTGAATCTATTTGTGACACACATTTACATGGTCTTCGAAAAAAGCTACCTCAGGAAGAGAATTTAGTTGCCATCCAGATAATGATGCCACAAGTTGAAAAATTACAATATCTGGCCTTCCCATCCAGAAGAAAAACACCAAACCTCATTAGGTGATCTCAGTATTTCGGTGAAAATCTAGTCTTCTGACTTCCTGTTTAGCTTTTAAGAGATGTATGTTATCTGTGTGAACATGCAGGTTTCCACCTCTATCTAATGATTAGATATGATACTCAACATGTATAAACTACTGCTAAGGAATCTAGAAGGAGGGATGAAGAAGTCTTTTTAGGCTGAATTCCTATATTACATAAAATGGAAAAGTCTAGTGCTATAACCGTGCCTTTGTTCAAGGTGCTTCATCAGTTAAAGCTGTCTTGTACTTATAACAGAACCTCTGCTTATGCTTATAACTTTAACAATATATTTTTATGGGTATTTTCTCGTGCTGCCAGTCTTCGCAACTTCAGAAGTTATTGACAAAAATGTATGTGGTAGAGTGCTTCATCTTACTGTTCATTTGTAGCTTTTCTTCTAGCCTGAGCAATAATTGGGGTCACCGTGATAGAACAGTGTTGCTTTGTGATTCGTTTCAAAGTCTTGTTTGATTATTAAATATTTTAGTGTATGTCCAATTATGTCAAGTTATTTTAAAGCAGTTTTTGAATATTGCTGAAGCTCTTTATGAGCTTCATACTGAGATGGTATTTTCTACATCTTTGTGAAGTGATTGTTAAGATCTTTTTAATATTGCCGAATATGAAAGCAGCTTCATTGGACAGCTAAATTACATTAGAAAATAACATGAAATGAGGTCTAAGTTTATGAATTTACGTACCTTTTACAACCTTGTAGCTTTTAAACCAATACTACTTTAAAGTAGTTTACTCAACCATTATCTTGTGTCACTTGACAAAGTATGGATTAAGCTTAAAAATCTCAATTTAGATACTTCCTTTAGGCATAGAATGTGGAGTCTTTATGTAAGGAGTGATCAACTTGACCAAAAAATGGTTGAAAGAAACTGGATTTATTTATTATTCTTTTTTTTCCCTCTTATCAATGTGTTGGATTTACTGTACCTTCTGAAGCTGTCTGGGGTGTTGTAGTGTTATTTCTAATTCCACAGTTTTTAGGAAAGACCTGGACGTAGTACACTGTCAGTGGCTGTAACAGAATTGTTAATCCATCATTTGCTCTATGTCCATTGAATTTTCCTATTACAAAAGGGAAAAAACCAGCTATACTGTAACAAGTTTGAGTGTGGCTGCATCCATGAACTGCATTAGATATAACCTCATGAAAACTACTTTTCAATTCTGTTAATAATTATTCAGCTGTGAGTTTAGAGGCTTTGTTCAGGGATTGAGATCCCATTTTGTGCTACATGCTTTGTAAACAGTGCAGAGAAAATACACTCTCTGCTCTAGAGACTTGGAAAAGACCCCACGTTGTTCAGAAACATTATAGCTGGATTTACTGTTTCTAGCTGTGCAAGCTGACTTGGGATCTTAAAGTCCAGTTGCACGATATCTGTCTTATATTGTCAGCAGCAGCTCAGGCTCCTGAAGCCGAGCTCTGTTTCCAGTTCCATGTGAATCACTGGAGCCTGGAGTTGCACATATGTGGCTGAGAGCAGAACTGAGAGAGCTGTGTTGAGCTGATAGCCTTGTGCTTGTCATTTTGTTAACAAACCTGCCATTAACATGCCAGACAGAAGGGATTCCAGCTCATTTTCCAGTTTCCCATTGCAATTACCTTGATCTTTTGGTCTAACAGAAATCAAAACATCTTCCCTCCTTGTCTCAATTTCTACCCTTAGCATCAGTCATTGTGACTGACTAGATAAAAACACCAAATAAATTGAATTTAAAAAAGAATTGGTTTTATCATCACCTTTTTGGAGAAGAGCTATTCCATAAAAAATTAAGCAGTGAGATTTTTTCCCCCTTAATATTTTCATTTCCTTTGTAGGAGATTTGGATTATCCATTTTATTTTATGATATTTAAGACTAATGAATTAGGCCAAAGTAAAAGACCATCTAGAAAATCTAATGCAGATTATAGCCAGCAGAAATTGTCAGGGATGTTTACTTGAGAAAGAATATTTTTTTACAATATATTTAATATCTGCTAAAATTCAATATAGTGTACTGAATATTAGCAATTTTAGGAAAACTACAAAAAGGACATCTTCCAACACTTAATGTGTTATAGCAGTGAAATTAAAATCAGAGCTATGAAAACATTTTTTTCCAACAAAATCTGAATTTTTCTGACTTCTATAAATGCATCCAGTAAAAGCAGATCTAAAGTTCATGAAAGCTGTCAGGTATCTTAAGTAAGTGCTGCAATGTAGAGGAGTTCTTTTGTCACATCCATTTTTACAGTAAAGTCAGTAAAGCTACTGCAGACTATATCAATGAGCATCTGCCTCCAGGTATATTCTATATACGTTGACTTGCTTTGGGAGTTTTTTTGTGGGTTTGTTGGGTTTTGGGTTTTTTTTCCGTGTGGATAAGGTTTAGACCTCTTTTAGAATGGATAATGCTGGTGCTTTGTTCAAGATGCTACACACTACTGGCCATTTGCTTTGAGAGCTTTTGATTTTATTTTCTTTGTTTTTAACAGTCAAAAGAAAACTCTTTTACAACCTCTTCTTGGTGGTCTTGGCTCACAGTTGAAAATATGCCTCTGGAGTTTACCAAAATCTTTGTGCCACTACTGCTGGCCAGAGAAGCTGTGTCTGCTGTGTCAGTTGTTGGTGTTCTGCACATGTTGCAGATATTCCCAGAATTGTATAGTCCAGCTTTGATCCTGTTCCTGCCCAGCTTGGAGGAGCACAATAGTTAAGTGATGGGCTTCCTGGCAGCACAAGACCCATTGAAACACTGAGTACGTTTTTAACTCCACCCGTACTTTAGACATTTGCCAGGAAGTTCCAGGATAATCCCATCATTTGTGCCTTGATTTAAATCTGACTGAGCACCGAAACTTCTCTTTTTATTTTTGAAAGGAGTAGGAGTTTTTGCACTTGTTGTGTATCAAAGGAGTTCTGGCTTGCACCGGGACTGAGGTGCTCTGGTTAATTTTCTCCGTCCCAGCCATAGTTGCGTTTCTATTTGTGCTTTTACTGTGGGGTTGGAAATGTCCTATGAACGCCAGCTGATGTCTGCAATAATTGGTCTCTGAATAAAGAACAGCATTCCTTCCCTACACACCTGCCCCATTAAAGCATGCCCACTCTTCCACCACCTCAGCTCACCTGACAGACACGGCTGATTGAAGCTCCTCAGTTGCTCCTGTCCGTGGGATGACGAGAGCTGTCAGGTAGTGAGACTGTTCCAACGAGCTTGACGCTAATTGCATGTAAAAGCACCTTCCAACTATAGGGAGGGTGCTGTAGCTGCAGTACTAACTCCAGTGAACAACAGCTGTGAGGGTATAATTCCTTTTCATGGAATCCAGCCTAAATGTACATTTTGTTGATTTTATTTTGACATTTTTGGTGGCGTGTCTTGAAGGTAGAGAAAACTTTTCCTCTTGTTACCGAAACTAGAAGAACAAGAAAGCTGCTTTCTCTGGCTTTTCAAAAGCTTCAGGATAGTCACTTCACAAAAAGAGGTTGTGTTTGGATCTAACACGAGCAGGGTTATTAAATGCACAAAAAAATAGCACAGGTCCTTTGTGTTTCCTTTTTGAGCCTCGATTTGATGTAGGTTTCTGGAGCATCATCAATTGATCAATAAAACATGTTAGACTGCATGCTAGTACTGATTAATTCACACCTTTGGTACACAGTAAGAAACAAGGTGAAGCCTGGTGTCTATAAAGGGACTTGCTAAGTGCATTAGCCAGTTGTCTGCTAATGTGTGCAGTGTGTCTCAGAGGGCCACCCAAGCAATTCCAGCCCTGGACACCTGATGGGCCAGTGGCATCAATCGGCTGCGGCAGCGGCAGCATCGTGAGTGGAGGGAGGTCCAGCCATATATTTCCAGGTCTCACTGAAGGATTGAGGGGAAAAAAAGAAGTATTGCTGAAAAAAATTAGTCTTTATAGCCTGGACTGCTTTAGCAAGACTTATTTAAAGCTGTATTTTAGCCTTCTACCAAAGAAGTTTTTGATTAAGTGCTTGAAAAAGGACTCTGTTGCAAAGGATCCCGATAGCTTATTTTGCATCTTTAAAAAAAAAAAATCGAATTCTAGAAGTGGTGACTGTACACTGGTAGAGCTGTTTTTCTCCCCACACAGGGGGACTCTTACACATTCCCAAGTGGCCAACTTCTGACAGCTATGTTTCATTCATTTCTAGCTCTTTTCATCTCCCTATGTTTAAACTTTTGTGGGAGCACTGGTGAATGTTACTGGAAAGGATGGGAGGGTTTCTCTGAGCTCCCCATGTTGCATTACCTGACCGGGTTCACAAGTTCTGGCCTTTTTATAGTTGGTTATGTCCAAATTTATTCCAGTCCTTACTGAGTCTGTGAAAATATAAAACTGTTAGAAAGTTAAGCATGCCTCTGGCCATGACGCTTTGTAAATCTGAAAGCAGGAGTTTGTGAGGGGGTGGTCTGCTCTGGACAATGTCCCTGAACAGCCAAATGCTGGGCTGCCCTCCCTGTCACAGATCCATGTGAATTTGCTGGTCCTTGAGGTGTGATCCCAGGCCTTGGTTTCCCCTCTGCAGGGATGTTAGCACACTGTGTTGATTTTTTTCAGGAAATTCTTATTTCTAAGAAGCTTAATGTGGGATTCAGGTGCCTAAACACAGACACTGAGTTCCATAATCAGACTTCCTGAGCTGGTTCTATGGTACTGGGGAGAACAGTAGGAAACCAGAGGGAGATGTGGATCATCCAGAAGTGGCAGCTGGAAGCCAAGGGGATATGTTATGGCATCTCAGGTGGCACTAATGTTTGTGATCATATGACTTGGTTACACCTTTGGTGTCTTTTAAACAAAATACTTTGGCAAATGTAGGTGAAAGGGAGAGAGTGATGTACGTAGAAAAACATAACTGTCCCTGACTACTGATTCAATGTGCTACCATATTTATTGCTGGAAAAGCTGGTTTAAAATCAATCTTTACTATCATAGCATTTTTTACTCCTGATGTGTTTGAGTATTTGGCATACTGTGCACATTTGAAGTTTTGAGAGAACCGACATTAATAGCTATTAAGTAAATGCATGGCATTGTTAATTACCTCCAGTCACGTAATTTATTGAACTTGCAAAACTGAAGTTCTTGAGTGCCATGACTAATTATAAGATTGGAAATTAATCCAGAAGTGGAAATTACAGCCATACTTGAAATGTCTCTCAGGCAACTTTGATCATTTTCCTATGCTTTTATCCACAGGTCTCTACGAGGAGATCCGTCAGTGCCGTAAGGCCTGTGGAGAAGCTCACATGAAAACAATCTTGGCAACAGGTGAATTGGGGTCCCTTGCTAATGTCTACAAAGCCAGTATGATTGCTATGATGGCAGGTAAATATATGTGGTTTTCTTTTCAAGCTAAGAAAGTCTTTGCTATATTATTTATGATGCTTTAAAAATTCTAGTCGTGGAAGTTTAGTTTTGTCGAAAGTAGAAAAAACTGTTATGTAGCAATTACTGAAGTTGCAGGTGTAATGATGAAGTGTCACTTGTTTTGTATAACCTACAAAAATGGAATGAAATGTTAAATAACACTTAAAACTGCTGAATGACAGGATTTGTAGGAACAAGTAATATTTGTTGTCAAACATCTGATCCTTGGTATATTTAATAAAGACACATACATTTGGGGCAGATACACTTATTGAGACAGTTGTGGTGACCAACAGATATGATGTTGGGTGATATCATGTCAGCTTATTTTAAATGCAAGGGGAACTTCCCTATGAAGATTGATGCTGACAGCTCTCATTTTTGGTTTGTGGTCACTTCTTCTGACCACCTCTGAGAGGTTTGGGAAACCAACTCCATGGGAAATGCAGTGAAGGGAAGAACACCGCAGGCTCCAGCAGGCACTGGGATGGGCTAGTTTATAACTGGTTTTAACTGGCACACTCAAAAGCAGTGGCACTCACTACCAGCAGTTAATTGGCACTTCAAAAGGTGTTGTTTTCCCTGTCTTTGAAAACTCGATTACATCAAACCTGATGCTTAAGAGTCTGTCTGTCTTTTATTCTGAACCTTTCAGCTGAGAAACACGTTCCCATGAACAGGATAGAGTTTGTAGGGGCTATGTATACTTTGTAGGGGTTACCTTTTTGCATGGTTATACCACCCAGATTTACAGCAGTATATTTGTCTCTGCTGCTTTGGGGCTGTGCTGGTACAATTTTCCCTAGTTTACCCACGACTTTGGATCTGTGTTTTAATGCTATCTTTAAGATGCAAAACTGGGAATTTGCTTCTAGGCACTTGCTTTTTCCACCATGCTTGAAAGAGGGCACTTCAAGTTCATTTCTGGAAGTTGAAAGATATACTAAGAACCACTTGGGTTAATCTGTCTTTTAAACTTCCCCTCATTATTGTGTTGATTTTTTTTTCTACTATAAACTCTTTGTACCTGAAATTCTTATCGTAAAGTAAGTGTCTTCTCAGTATTTAAATATTCAGCTTGCTGCTGACCTCATTGTCACCATACACAATACTGTGCTTATCTGATTAAGATGGAATGGAAAGCATTTGAGGCTTTTAATATGCTCAGCTACAATGTCAATTAGTATCATCAGACACAGAGGATCAGTATTATGTGACTAAATATTGCTTTTAATTAGAAGAGGTGTAAGAAATACACATTTCCTGTCATTTAAACTGATGTACTAACCGTTATGATCATGTTTCATAACATGGAGTAGTGAAAAATTCAGGTCGTTTTACCATTTTCAGAATTTTTGCTGGTGTAGTTTTTTTGAAATACAGCAGATGGCTCTATTGTTAATGATTTTCCTTGCCTAGTTATTCATTTTACAACATACTTATCCATCTGAATATATGCAGTAATTTCCTTACTTCAGTCTCTTGTTTTTTCTTTGTGGGTAGGTGTAAAAATAAGAATTTATTGGTGCCCTACACACATGCATTGAGGGCCAGATCTTCCGACTCCAACTTGTCATAGCTGGTGAGAACCTCAAATTCCAGTTGAATTTTGTTTGATTTGTATACTTGTAGCATTTGGAGCAAGTGATTTGGCACAGTAGCTTTAAATCCTAGCTTTAGTATCCATTTAGTATCCATTTTTTTTCAACTGGCGACATGATTTAAAAGTAAGGAAAAAAAAGCAGATGATCTTGTCAGGCCCTGGCAGGTTTTAGCTAAGATCAAGCAGTAACAATGCTCATAAACTTGACCCTAGTACTTAGTTTTATATGAGGAAATTAGTTACACAGTATAGTGAATTGAACTGCAAAACTGGCTTTAGAAGTTTTTCCTGCCTCTGGTCAGTTGCTCCTTTCCTTTACAGCAAAATTTGCTGCTCCTTCAGCTGTGGTGTTGGAAGTGCTTTTCATGCTGTGTTGTAAGCTGAGTTTTCAAAGTAATACAGTTACAAATTTCTCCAGAAAAGGGTGAACTAGTTTGATGTGTGGCTTTGGTTATTTGGCTTTTGTGATGTTGGTTTTTTTTTAAATGGTCATAGCCTCAGTAATCTGGTTTACAGCCTTGCCTTACATGCAGTTGTATCAGTGGAACCAAGGACGTGGTGTGCAGTCCTCACACACTTCACTATACATGATGTCAGCCTATCATCTAGGAAGCACAAAATTCTAGGCTTACAGATGTTTACGTTGCCCTTGTTGAGCATGCACACATTTCATCTAGATTCTGAAGCACAAAGCCACTAGACATGTGGCAAAAAGTATGTAAAATATATGTATTTCCTGTGTGTCTCATTTGTGAGACTCAGAAGGCTGAGAGAGTAACACAATTCTGATTTATCAGTAGCTCTGTGGTTGAAAAGCTTCCCTGGGATAGGTGGGACTTGGTTTCTGTGACTGAGGTTCTTCTACGACACAGAGATCAGTTTTACAGTGTATTTGCTGTTAAGCATCTCAGTCCCTCCTGATAAGGTTGTTGTGCTTTGCACAAAGCAGTTAACTGAGCAACACAGATGTCTCCTTTCCCAGATAACTTTCCAAAATTTTTATATAGTCTTCCTTGTGCTGGGTGAGGAATTACTGGTATATGCTGGGTACCACAGCGTGTTATAGAATCACAGAATCAACTGGGTTGGAAGGGACCTCCGAGATCATCAAGTCCAACCCTTGATCCAACCCTGCTGCGGTTGCTAGACCATGGCACTAAGTGCCACATCCAGTCTCATCTTATAAACTTCCAGGGATGGAGAATCCACCCCTTCCCTGGGCAGCCCATTCCAATGCCTGATTACCCTCTCTGTAAAGAATTTCTTCCTAATGTGCAACCTAAACCTCCCCTGGCACAGCTTAAGACCATGCCCTCTTGTCTTGCTGATAGTTGCCTGGGAAAAGAGACCAACCCCCACCTGGCTACAACCTCCTGTCAGGGAGTTGTAGAGAGTGATGAGGTCTCCCCTGAGCCTCCTCTTCTCTGAGCTGAACAGCCCCAGCTCCCTCAGCCTCTTCTCATAGGACTTGTGCTTGAGTCCCTTCACCAGCCTTGTTGCCCTCCTCTGGACCTGCTCCAGGACCTCAATATCCTTCCTGGTTGGTCTGATTCAGCTCTCAGGTGGGGGTTCAGTCACTGGACATGCAGCCAGGCTGCACAGGTCACTGACTTGGAAAGGGATGGTAAATGTTCAAAAAACGGGCACCTCCACGTTGGTTGGGGTTTTAAAAGAACACTGAGGGCCGTGCTCCAAATGGGGAGATGTACCCATGCACTTTGTATTCAGAGGAGGGTGCACAGGGCACTTCCACAGGCAAACAGCTGCACTCTGCACCACAGCCCTTGCAGGACTTGTTGGAAGGCATCCCATGCACACCAGGGAGTGAGACGTGCAGATCCCAGCACTGCAGTGGAGGTGGAGGCCAGTTGTAGATATGGTGCTTTGCACAACATGCCCATGTATAGGATGTTAATCCTTGCACCTTCAAGAACTTGGGAAACAGTGTTGCTTCACAGTGAGATACAAGAATTTGCCTCTGTTTGAATCGGCGGCTCTTGGCTCCTGTTGTCTCTGGAATAATTCTCCACAGCTACTTTTTCTTCCTTTTTCGTGAGGAGAAAGGCATCAGAACGGGAGCAGGCACACAGTTAACTTAAATTCCTTTAACCATACGATTACAGACTTGACTGACATGCGATGAATTCTACTGGAATATTTATAAACCTGTTTCTGAGTGAAAGAGGCTGACAACCCTCTAAGGACAGTGACTCACCTGGCAAGAATTATCCTTGCAGTGCTAAGGAGGACATGATGGCAGGTAGCATTGCACGAGTGGTTCCATGTCACTGCCAAAGGAGCACATTGTTTTCAGAAAGCTGACTGAGACAAACTCTTAGTATTGATTCAGGGAATTTTTGGCCACTGGTTTATAACATCCACTGCCATTTCTTGAGCTTCTTGAAGTCCTGATGGTGGTTTGAGTACATGACTTTCTCAAGAAAACTGACTGCATTTTTGCTCTGCTTTGGGACAATGAGTAAACTAATTAGTGGTTTTCACTGTCTGGTATATACTTATGTGAGTCACGTCCATTTCTATAGGACACACTCAAGTCTGTGTCTTTGTATTCTCTTGGAACAGTCCTAAGGAACACAAATGGGAGTGCCTGACTCCCCCATAATAGAGGTAACTATTATCTCTCCATCATGGTGTCTTTAAGCAGTTCTTGTACACACTATGAGAGGTAGGCCATTTTTTAACTTTTATTTTTTGACACAAAACATCAGAAACTGCCAAGCAAACCAGAGAAGGAAGGGAAAGATGAACTTGAAGTGGGAAACGAACACTTCAGTAAAGTTGTTGATGACTTAATTGCATATTTCAGTCATATATTAGGTTTTTTATTCTGGAAACCCACATTTTAACCATATTACCTAATTACAAAGTCTTTATTGTTCTGTATAACAATTCATATTCATTAAGGTGGAGGAAGTGATTAAGTACTTTGAAAGTGAAAACTTCATCTATGTCATTTTGACAACTGCTCTTGATAGAACAGCTCCTTTTGCATCACGCTTTGGGAAGCTGAGGGAGCACAGCAGTGACGTGAAAGATATTTGTTTTCATTATATATATCTATATATCTAAATAAGTGCCTGTGTAAAGATCAGAAAGGAGTGATATATGTTCTTTTGCAGCTCTACAAATGTATGGGGTTTAAACAATTTTTTCACAGGCCATTAAGCAGTTAGTCAAATAAATTGTATGTTTAGATACTGACTAATGTAAACATTGAATTTAGAAAGGGAATGAGTTAGTGCTAAAACAAAATAACTTCTAAAGCCTCTAGCACAAAACCCCTTGTAAATACTAAAAGAAGATGGCTGAGGCAATAAGATGATAGTCTAGAAGA